ACCTCAGCCTCCCAAGTAGCTAGGACTACAGGTACATGCCACCATGCCCGGCTAATTTTTAAATTTTTATAGAGACAGGGTCTTGTTATGTTGCTCAGGCTGGTCTTGAAATCCTGGGCTCAAGCAGTCTTCCTGCTTTGGTCTCCCAAAGTGCTGGGATCATAGGCATGAGCCATCATGCCTGGTCTATATTCAGAGAAAAATTTTGAATCAAATGTATTCACATGGCTTAAAGATCAAAATAATATTAAAAAGTATACTTTGAGAATTGTATGCATGTATAACGAATGTCGTACCTATTCTGTGTTCTGCCTCCTCTCCCCCTACTCCCTCCACAGGCAGCCATTAGTTTCTTGTGTAATATTCCAGTGTTTCCTTATGCAAGCAGAAAGAAAAATGAAACATATTCTTATTTTTTCCCTTTCCTACTCAAAAGGTAGCTTTTTGGATATACTTTTCTACATCATAGATTTCTCACCTATTTTTTTGAAACTCCTTAAATATAATTGATTACATCTATGTTCCTCATTTATTGCTTCTTACTCATCTATATTTGTTACTTCACTTGTAATGTGTAATTTTTGTCATACAAACATAAGTGTGTAGGAATGTATTAATGAATCTGTCCTCTCCCTTAGACTGTAAGCATTTTGTGGGCAGAGATTTTGTTGTTCGTCTCTAGTCTTGAGAACCTAGCCCAGGACCTGGCACATACTAGACACTTGGTAACTTTGAAGCTGACACCTGGTAGGCAGGGAAGAATTCATTTGGGAAGAGGGCATGGTGACATCTCAAAAGAGGAGTTGGGCACTCATAAGGGAGCTTACCTAATAGCCTAGTGCTAACCTCAGAGTAGTCTCATTGGGAGAGTAGCTCCTAAAGCTACATTAGATACAAAACAGGTTTATTTTTAACATTGACTGTATCTGAGTGATTTGGCTTTGGCATTAATAACTGTCTTTAAAACATGATCTCCATGTGTATGCATAAAGATTCAATTTAACTGGTTTTTCTCACTGTTTTTACTTCAAAGCAGCAATACTTTTTTAGAAAGAAGACTAGAAAGCTTTCACAAAGGATATTACAGAACTATTTCTTAAATTAGAAATAACACATCAGGTATTTTCTAATTCTTAGAGGACTTGCTTTAGATTGATATATCACATTGTTGTTAAAGGAAACGTCAGACATAGCTAATTGTCATATTAAAATCTGGGCCTAACTAAATAAGTAGCCATAGAGGTGATCCCTTTGAACAAGGCTAAACCACATTGACACAGATAGCCACACAAGCAATGCCATGATAGAATAAAAACAGACCGAGGGAGGGGATATTTTTACAACAATTTCTGGTTGATGGTGTTTTAGAGATAGAGGCCAGGTTAATGTATTCCTCCATGGACAGACATCTAAGGAGGCTAGTTACTGAGATCTCTGCTTGTGTTGAGAGAAGGGGTTTGTTTTTTTTTTTTTTTTTTTCAATTAGTCTTAAGAAAGTTTCATGTCAAGTAGTATTTAAAATTAAATTTTCCAAGTATCCTCTGGTTCATTGCTTTATTTTGTGCTATGGGGCTTAACAGTCTGGTTTTATTTGTTTTTGAGAATGATGTTTCTTGTTTTTGTCAACTCAGTATCTGTTAAAATCAGATAGCTGTTTATGGTTGTTTTTCCTGTTAAGTCTCTTACTCAGCAAACACTTGTCTTCATTACTCAAAATCAGATCAATATTCCAAATGTTCTTTTAGCATGGAGGTTATTGCAAGATTTATAAGAGTGAAGAGAAGTCTGGATTGCTCTGTATAATAAATTGTAGTAATTACCAAGAGAAATGAAGGGATGTAAGAATGGACAACAGCCTTTTACCAGAGTGGTCAAAACAGAAGAGAGGGCAATTTGTATGCCAGATTTTATAAGTAGCATCATTGGACCGATAAGTTACATATTGCTTTTTCTAGTTCAGCCTTGTCTGTTTTTTGCAAAGTTTGGGGCAAAGGGAGATTGATTACATTGGTTACCAACACATTAGACAGTAACTATTTTTTTTTCAAAAATACATTTTAGTTGAACATTTTACCCCAAACAACTGCTGATGTGGTTTGGGGGCAGATATATAGATATACAGGTTTGCAGAACTAGGACAAAGGACCATCTATTAATTTATGCCACCTATCCAAAGGGGGCAAAAAACCAGACTCCACAACATCTTGTGACCAGTACGTTGCCAGAAAATATTAATGAATATTTTCTAGAAATCAAATTCTGGTAATAGAAAAAGCTGAAGTCTTAAAACTCAGGATTTGTATTGTAGTTTTGTCCCAATTGTGTTATACACCTAATTGTTGCTTGAAGCTGGGAACCCTAGTTTAAGGGGAAAGAAACAGCTTGATGAGCTTTTCAGGGTGAAGACAAAGGGAGTGAGGGTGGAAAAGAGGACATCTAGGAATAATGAGCAGCATTGAAAAGGACTTGGAGTTAAAAGTGGGGCATGAAGGAAAGCGTTTTGAGCAGAGTAATGAATTAAAATAAAAACAATAGGGTGTGTCTCAAAAACTTAGTGTTTATTTCTCCTATAGAGGTGGTTTTCTCTATGCCATGTTGCCTCTCTACAGTGTTCTTTCGGTATGTTTATTGACATGTTATTATTTTATTCGAAAGGCTCGTGAAGAAGAAATGACTGCAAAAGTAATGGACCTGCAGACTGAACTTGAGGAGCTGCAGAAGAAATATCAGGAAAAGCTACAGCAGGAGGAGAACCCTGGCAATGATCATGTGAGAGGAATTTGAGTTTGCTACGTGTTTCTTGAGAACATTGTCATTTCCATGATTTGACATGTTTGCTAACACGCATACATATTTATCTCATTTAATCCTAGCAAAAACCTTTTGAGAGAGATTCTTGCCTCCATTTTATAGATAGTGAAACTGAGGTTCAAAGAGGTTAAATAAAATGTTTAAGCTTACAGAATAAATGTTGCACTGGGAATATAAACCCAATCTACCAGACTTAAAAACCTAGTGCTTCTTGGTCTTTTCCATGGAAAGGAAAGCAGAGAAAAGTGGAAAATACAGACCTGGGGCATAGCCAGAAATGGTGCATAGCAAGTATGATATTTTTAGATATGAACAATTTTGTGCTAAAAAGTCGTATAAATTTTATATTTTACTCTGTAATGTATCCTTAGTTGCAGTCACATAAAAATGATATTTTTAGTTATGTACTTTTAAGAAAAGCAATTTCTATCTTTCTTCTTGGTTAGTGGATCAGATGCGAATACAATGGGATGATTTTGGAAAATTGGACTGAATTCAAAGAGAACTGGCCCTGCATATCTTAGGCATTTAAAAAAAATAATCCCAATCTTTAAGTAAAATTAACACTATGAAAGATAGACCATGTTTACCCTGTGGCTTCCTGTCCCATGTGCACCCCAACAAGTGCACACCCACAGGACATGTGGGCCCCAATTTGCAAAGGCTGATAGTGTGTTGTTCCACTTCCTAAAATGTTCTCGCTCATTCAGGATGGTCTTTTTCATAGCGTAGTCATGAAGTAATGGGAAAGTGAGTAGACACTGTTCATGACCTTATCCTTGAGAGGCTTCGTTATGGAATGTCCATTACCAGATAACAATTTTTTAGACAACCAATTACACGGTCACCTTCCCAAAGTGCAGAGAAGGGGCCTTTATAAAGAGGTTTGCTACGCTGTACCACGTGGTAGGTATATCTCAGTT